CAGCCACTGCACTCCGGTCTGGGCGACAGAGTAAGTCTCCAACTCAAAAAAAAAAAAAAGAAGACATTCTGGCCTTCGATACTTGGACCTCAAAAGAGTAAGATATTCAGGAAGAGGCAAATAAGAGGTTTCAATGTCAGGTCTACAGGTGGTACTTAAATTAAAGTATGGTCTTGATTTAAAAGCCCTGTCTTTAACCTCTGACCAGGTGTGTGACTAACATAGCTAACATGCTGAGAAAAATGAGTGTCTTGGCATTAGTAGGCTTTACATTAAAATATTATTTTATTTTTACTTTGAAAAATGTTCCCAGTAGACTCTACAACATGGAAAGCAAGCAGTACTTACATCCATATGGTACTTCAGCTTATTTCAGTACTATTTTTATGTAAAGATCAGTGTGAAACATCAGCTGCATGTTGGAGGTTCTTGGGTCAGTTACCTTCTAATTTCCGTACTTGCTTTCGGTATCTTTTGCCTATTGAAACACCTTGAACACTTCAGAATGAAGGAACCAAAAATTATGTACTAGAAGACCAAGTTGAGACTTGAAGATCATATCTGGTTAGACCTTTGGCAGAACTACTAGAAAAAGAAGACTGCAGATTGGAACTGTAGATATTGAACCCAAATGATCTTTTTTTAAACAAAATTTAAGGTTATTGAGTCTCTCTTTACAAGAACATGATTTGGTCACATACTCATGGGGAATTAGTATCTATGTACTGGTAGTGGCCAATGGGCTTGCCGTGTGTGTGTGTTTTAAATAATGTAGACACCATTGCATGGTTTTAAACAAGTAAGTTGGAAATAAATTGTTAATTCTTCTTTTGGGGAGCCTTAGATGTTAGGGAGGCAAGTGAATTTCCTTGTCTGGGATGGTACAAGCAGCATAGTTATAAAGTACCATGCCAAGACTAACCCGTAAAGCTGTGGTAGACCCAGTTTAGAAGCTGGTTCTTCTGACGAAGGATCCCTTGCTTGCTTAGAATATCTGACTTCCCTCTGGAACAGGAACATAGAAGATGCATTTTCCTTTGTGACTCACTACTGGTCCCTTATCTCAGCTGTGCTGCAGTGTGAGGCTGGGTCTGTGCTGAGCTGTGAGTCCCACTAGCCTGAGGAGTGTGGCTGACTTGTGTTCTAAGCTCTCCTCTCTGTCACCGAAACTCTAGCAGAGGATCAGAGAAGCAGCAGAGCCTGGCACCACAGCATTAGGCTTGTCCTTGGGAATGGGCCCAAATGACTTTTTCTCTATTGTTTTGCATTGTGTTTTTGCATTGGACTCAGTGCTTAACACACTCCTCTATGGTAATAAAAAACCGTTCTCACGCAGTTTCTAACGGGTCTTATTTTTTTCTCTTGATAGCTTCAGGCATGAAATAACTTGAAAATGTAATTACCGTGCGTCCTATTTGTTTCTCTATTTGAGAAAGACCTTACCACAAATCTTGATGTCATCGTTTGTAAGTAACTTGTGATTTAGAGCTTTGTGTTTACAGACATTTGTGGATATCTGATGTTGAATGTATTATACACTGAGAAATTTTATTTAAAACAAAAATCCATCCATGAAATATCATTTTTCTTTGTTTTCAGTGAAGATTTATTTGAACTCATTACATACTCTTGTTTAGTTTCTTTATTCTCTGTGTTGGCAGGCAGAGACATCTCCTATAGACATTAAGATTCTAGTACAATTTTGGAAAATGCATTATTGGTTAACATGAATGAATGTAAGTAAGACAGGATCAGGGAGCTGGGCATGGTGGCTTACGCCAGTCATCCCAGCACTTTGGGAGGCCGAATGAGAGGATTGCCTGAAACTAGGGGTTTGAGATCAGCCTGAGCAACTTGGCAAGACCTCGTCTCTACAGTAAAAAAAAAAAAAAAAAAATTAGCCAGGCTTGGTGGCACTCACCTGTGTGGTTCAGCTACCTGGAAGGCTGAGGTGGAAGGATCATCTGAGCCCAGTGGGTCGAGGCTGCGGGGGCCGTGAGCGTGCCACTGCACTCCAGCCTGGGCGACAGAGTGAGAATCAGGCTCAAAAAGAAAAAAGAATGAAAAGGCCTTAGAAATGTTAACTACATCAGAAATATATTCTCTTTTTCTTATGATTTTAATCTTTTTAAAAGAGAACTTAACTGTTTAAGCAAAAATAACAAAAATGTGGTGTGGGATGTATAGCATATGTAAAAGTGAAATGTAATGCAGCAATAGCACAAAGGTTGAGAGAGGAGAAATAAAAGTACACTATAATTCTTAAATGTGAAGTGGAATAATATCACTTGAATTTAGCCTGTGATAAGTTACAGATCTCTAAACTGACAATCTACTACTAAAATGGAACGAAGAGTTATAGCTGAGTCAATAAGGAGAAGGAATACACATGAATATAAATGAATGAATGTAAGAAAGGATCAGGAACCCGGGCACAATGGCACATGCCTGCCATCCCAGCACTTTGAGAGGCGGAGGCAAGAGGATTGCTTGAGCCCAGGAGTTCGAGACCAGCCTGGGCAATATGGTGAGGTCTTGTCTCTACAATAAATAAAAAAAATTAGCTGGGCATGGTGGTGTGTGCCTGTTGTCTCAGCTACTTGGAAGGCTGAGATGGAAGGATTGTATGAGTAGTCAAGAAAATGTAAACCAAAGCAAGATAAAGTCAACTTTTTGGTTTACATTTTCTTGGTTATTACTGAGACTACATATATCCTCATATTTTAAAAAGATATATTTCTTTTTTTGCACAGTTTCAGAATTTATTTTTATACCAATATCATCATGGGAAGTTTTTTAATGTTATCAATTCTAATACATATGTAGCAATATTACAGTATTGTTTTATGCCCATCTCTAATGACCAGTGACATGGAACATATTTTTTTTTAACTTTTAAATTTTTTTATTTTAAAATTGTGGGGTACAGTTTATATTGGGGCATACAGATACTCATTGTGCAGGTACCCTTGTTAATGAGGTGTGCTCCCCCTTCCCCAGGCAGATTTCCACTACTGCCAATCCCACTGCTCTGCTCCCCCC